CCCTTCCGGGGTCTGCTCCCCTGCACTAGAACACATGCGATAGCACGAGTCCCCACGAACTATGGAAACATCTGGATGTTTGACTGAAATTTTTTATTCCTCACCTAAATATTAGAATCCATGTGAATTTCATGTATAGACACAGCCCCAAACTAAAACAGTGTCATTGACTAAATTTGCCCTTCAGTGTGCATTTTCTGAAATGCATTTTTTCCAAATGTTTTTCATCAGTTGTTGTCAACAACAATCCTGGGGGAACAGAGAGGACCTTTCAATGACAAGCAACTTGCTAGCCCCTAGGGCTGCAGGCTGGGGTAGTGCCCCTGAGTGCTGGCTGCAGGCTCAAAGGAGACTTTAAAAGGGAGACAGCCAAGATAAGGGATAGGAAAATGAGTGGGATTGAAAGGAGAAGGAAGGAGGATGTATTGCCATAGAAGGGATGGGGGAATGCTAAAATTTTTACTCTTCGTCCAATGTCAGGCATTTTATATTGTACCCTATATACTTTGATGCCCTGTACACATACAGGGTACAATACTTAAATGATCTTATTTATTGAATTCAAGTTTAGCTTGAGAACAGTAATATCTTTTAATCAACTTCTCCTCCCATCTCATGACCACCAACAGAACAGGTCATCTGACTTACTCATTTGGCTCTTAAAATTAAGTGAGCTTTTTAAAATCGTAAGGTATTTTAGCTTCTGGAGGCCACGGCAGACACATACATGAATTAGTATTTTCATGTCTCAGTTAACATTCAGTGCTACAGTTTTATTTGTCCCTGAAAGAAATTTTCAAAATGTCAGGTAGGAACAAAAATGGAAACAATCACAAACTTCCCCAGTAAACTGAAAATATAGAGTAATTCTTAGACCATACAATGGATCAAACTGTGCTTGTTCGTTCGTAGGAATGAGTTAGTGCTTTAAAAACCTTATGACAACTGAGGATTTACAATAGCATTAGTTTGTATTTCTTTCACAAACCAAATTGGATTAAATGAAGTACAACAAGTGTGTGTGTGGAATACATTTGTACCCCTCCCTAGGGTTGAGGTGACGGGGGTTACCTGTAGGGCAGGATCTCTCTGCCTTCAGAAAGCAGATTTTCTAGCTGGGGAAGATCAGACTAGCATAGGTGAAGCATTAGAATATTGGGTACAAGGTGGCAGAGTAAAGATGATAAGGACTTAGAACTTCAGCCCAGGAAGGAACAGATCAGTGGCATCTGAAGAAGTTGGGAAAGGTTTTATGAAAGAGTAAATGACACTTGAGTGGCTTTCTGATTTTGGGTGGATGGGGAGAGGAGGGGGACACCTTACGGAAGAGAAACAACATAAAGCAGAGCCAGCAGATGTGAGAAATAAGAGTCTGTTTTGGGTAAAAGGTTTGTGCTTAGTGACAGAGAAATACAGCTTGGCTGAGCCGGATGGGACAAGGTTACAGGAGAACCTGGAGTCTCCCGGGGAGGAGTTGAGTGGATTCTGCAGTGTAGACCATGGGGAAACAATGCAGGTGCTCGAGCAGAGGTGTGCCATAATGTTTAAGAGAAAGTCATTACCGTTGTGCCTTGAAACGTAGTGCTGGTGAATCTATTGGCTGTTTTGGTCTTCCCCCCCCCCCCACCTTTGGATACTCCAGTCTCCCCTTCATCTGCTATTTACTGCTCATGTCTGCTTTGGCATGGTGTATTCTCACATCCATCCCTCTTGTACTTCCAACTTCTGACGGTTGTGTAAGGGCCGATCCAAGGGTGGGGTGGAGCTTTCCCCTGGGATGTGGGACCACCTGGCCCTGGAGGACCCTGGAGAGACCAGGGAAGCAGGGACCATGTGGCTCCAAGCTCCCTGTCCCCTGCTGCACTCAGCAGAGGTATAGTTTCTCTGATGTGGCATCACACTGCCTCTGCCCCCCTGGGGCGAGCAGGCTTCATGGGCAACGATGCAGGTCACAGTTAACTGGCCCTGTGAGCATGTGCTTGTGGAGAACTGGTGTGGACTCATCCCTGAGCAGCAGGTCCTCATCATATCAGTCCACTGGATGCCTTTTATACCCTAATTATCCATTACTCTCCAACTTTAAGCCACTCAACTATTTTCTTTTACAATTAAGATCTCTATGGCCCCCCTCCACCCTGGCCTTTTTGTCACTTTTTTTTAAAGGGGGGATATAATGGGAAGGAAAGTAAGAATTTTAGTTTGGGGATTTCTCCAAATGCATTCATTAATTTTGGAAAGGTAAAGTGCATTTAACCTGATGGAATATTTATAAAAATGGAAAGCTCATTGTCAACTAAATCTCATTTATTTAATCTAGTATTAGACTGCCTTTTTTTTTTTTAAACCAGATGGAAAACATTAGCAGTAATAGTGAACAAACATATCCAGGCTCCCAGAGGTCATTTTTAACCACCATTAACAATCTGGTTTTCACAGATTAGTAATATGCAAAAGGCAACGGTCCAGTGAAAGATACACAAAAGGCAGCTGAAGCTTCTGTGCTCCTTATTTACCTAACATTGAACCATTTTTTAAAATGCTTTGCAAGTGAGAAATTTGAAACTTCTAAGCTCAAAACTGACAGATTTTTCTGAGAAGTTGCAGCAAAATACCTGTTTCAAATAGACACATGTAAAATATTAATTAATCCTTCACAAAGCGGATGAAAAGTGTATTATTAATGTCATCGGTAGATTCACCTGTGGTTAATATAGTTTTATTTACTAGCTATTTGTTTAATGCTTCATACCAATGTAAACCTCCTAACTGTGAAGTAGAAAAGAAATGCAATTTTACATATATTATTTTAATTTTTTAATTTAATTATCTAGTTGAAATGTAATATAAGGTAAACAGTCCACAAAATACACTAGTAGGTCAGAAAGAAGCTGGCCTCTAATGTGATAAGGAAATGGCTTCTAGAGTTGCCTATTCAGAAACTAACTATCTCATTTAAATCATGTCTTGAGGGGTTGGGAAAGTTGTAGAATGATAAAATCTCATCCTGCTCTGTAGATAGATGCAGAGATGTGTGCATGCTCATTTCTTTTCTTGTTCAACCTCAATATTATATGTGGGTATGAAACATCTATGCATTTAACATCTGGTTAACTGAGACTAAAGTAAACATAGGTAAAACTGCACATAATATGCATTTATCTTCATTTAAAAATATCATTATTCTTGGTTTATACATTTACGATTTGTTACCAACCTTTGCGTTACTCTTCTTTTAGATAATAGTAGTTTGTAGGAATTACGTTGAGGTCTGTATTTAAAATGCTTCACCGGTATTTCCTCATTATTTATTATATGGAGAAGAAAGCCAAGGTATTAATGTTCAAAAGTCTACAGAGAGAGGTCATGTCCAAGATGAAAATGAGAATAAGTTTGTGCAAATATGACGTAGATAGTACAGAAAATGGCTGCCATTAAGGAACTCAGGATGCCCTGGATATTGTTGTGCTGACGATGGGGAGCCAGAGGAAGTGCCTTCCCATAACTGTGCACATGCTTGGGAATATTTGTACATTTGTACTTTCATACACACATATGCACACATGCATACCTGCGCACACATACCCCTGACAGTCATCATGTGGACTGCAGAATCGCCATTTGTAATATCAGGTTGAGGACTTTTCTGTCCGTCCTTGATATCGTAGGCTGCCACTTTGGGAAGAAATTCTGTTTCCCTCTTTGCAGAAATTTTTCCCTTGACAATGAAATTCCCCAGTATTCCTGGAAGTGCCCGGGACCATTTCACTCCATCTCTTGCTGAGGAAGGGACATGAAAAGATATGAGAACAGAATTGAAACGATGCATCTAACTTGTGCTATGATTTAGAATTTGCGACCTCCTAGGGTCCCTTTCAGTGACAGCTGAAGACACTTTATTGAATATGAGTATGTGTCTAGCACTGTGCAAGGCACTGGCCATGCAGAAAAGACAGAGCCCCGCCTCCAGGTAGCCTGCCTAGTAGGTGCAGAAGGCTGGAAGCAAACGGCACCAAGGACATGGAAGAGCTAACCTGGGGGGCAGGGGAGGGGGATAGAGGAAACCTTCTCAGAGCACCTTTGTCTGCACTGCCATATCTCTATAGATGAAAATGGAAAGCTTAATTAAATTATGTGGGTAATTGCAGATAACAAGTTGAAACCTTTTTAAATTCTGATAGCAGAATGGTTGCATTTCTTTGCTTTGTTTATGTTTTCTGGACTATATAGACTCAATTTATGACTGTAGATATATACATTTTCTTAGCTTGTCATCATTCTAGTTAGCACAGAAGCAAAATAGGTAAGAACAGCAACCTAACTTCTATCCACAATACAGTTTATACTGTTTGAAGACAAGTAGTTAAGAAACTATCATCAGCAAGCATATGACTATTACAAAGTAACATAACTTATTTCACTTCTTTCTTTTCGGTTGATTTCTTTTTTAAAAAGCTATCAATTATTAGGAAACCACTGCAGCCTCATAACTTCTCTCCCAGGGACAGCTAAAGCTTCCTCTCACTTCTTTTTCACCACCCCACATTTTGGTGGCCCAAGAAGGCTGGAGGCTTCTGTTTCTATGGTCTTGGGTGCCTTCCCAATAAAATCAGGCTTCTTCACCTCTAGAAAGAGAGGGAGTCTGATCAGATTTCTCCCAGAAATGTCAGCTGTTCAACCTCCTCTTTTGCCCTTCTAGCAGTTAGCTTGGTTGTAAAGGCTGGGCAGTGGTAGGGGCTGGGAGGGAGGCTGACGTCAGGAGTCTGCTTTCATGGAGCTGTCGTCACAGTCTAGGTGGACTCGGCCCTCATTTTCTGTCACTCCCCTCCATGGTTCAGGGGAATGATACACGAGTAAATGAGGACAACGTTTGGCCCCGAGGACTTCCACCTTGAAGTTATATTAAAAAAACTCTTTTGTAGATATTAATAGAAAGTGAAAATAACAACTTGCAGAAAATAGCCTACACAAAACTAATATTTTTTTCTCCTTCTTTTTTAAAGGTGAACACACACAAGAGACAAATTCACCTCATTCACTCAGAAAGGATGTAGAAAATATGGGGAAAGGTAAAGAAAAGTTTTAATTCTGTAGAACTTCTCTTAGCTTTAAAAGACTGAAGAGATAATAGGAGGATATTTTTGTTCTACACTATATTTTAAGCTTGACAAGCAACACATGAATAATATATGGACCACGGGGTGGATATAATTGAGATTAATGCATACATATCAATCAATACATGACACTGTAAAATAATCCTTTAAAATAATACATTACATTGATTTATATTCATGGATTTCTGCACAAAATCTATCCCATGTCTATGTGACCCTTTTTAAACTGGTAAAATATTTTGTCTTATAATAATAACTTGCCATATGTAACAGTCCTCTGGAGAGTCATTTGTAAAGATTAGTAAAGTGACTCTTCTTTTTTTCTTTATTAGAAGAACTTCAGAAGGTTTTATTTGAACAAATAGATTTGCGGAGACGACTAGAACAAGAATTCCAGGTGTTAAAAGGAAATACATCTTTCCCAGTATTCAGTAAGAAATCACTTTTATTTCATTGCCTTATGATATTTGATGATATTTCTATTATTAGGCATAAGGATAGGCTTCTAAATATTATGTGATTACACAAAGTACCACAGGGTCTTCCGGTGGTCTCAAAGTGTTTGGAAATTTTAGCCTGTTATTTATGCTTTGAATCAGCTGACAGATAAAATTTCTTAAAAGAACCTTTTGGTGTTTATTCTATTGGTATATGTGTATCTGTGCATATGTATTGTGTGCATTTAAAACATGTATGCAAATATACCATTAAATATGTAGATATATTTAAATAGTCAGAAATATTAATATTTTTTAAAACAGAAGAATTACTCAGGTATTTTTTTCTCTAAGGTAGGAAAAACAAAGGAACAGTTAATTCTTATTCTCAGACAGTTCTAGAGAGCTGCCTGGTGCTTGAGACATGAAGATTTAAAATTTAACAATTCAATGTACACATATTTTATTAATTAAAATTAGTACAATTTCAGTAGTTGGGGATTCTCCATACATATTTAGTAATAAAATTTCATTCCAAATTTGGTGGCAAGAGAAACTGTGGCATAAAAACTATTGTCTCTACTCCCAGAGTCCTAGAATTTCAGAAAGACCTATGATAGATGTCCAGATTTCTAAAATTCATCTGTCGTGTTCTGAATCACATTTGGACAAATACACCACAGTAGTGTTTTTCAAGCTTTTTGGAGTCTCATTTAGTCATATTTTGAATTATATACATTTAATATTAATTTTTTTCAGGGACACTTTTTTAGAATGTCAGTGCCCTTTGTTTTTTAATCCAGGCATCACAAAACTCATGGTGGTAATTCCTGTGGTAGAGCCATAGGCAAACATCCAGAAAAAGATTTTTCAGTAGTTGTGACAATTTTAATAGTATGAGCACAAAGGTCTGCACTCGCCAGAGCTTCTCAAATGTAATCATCAGCACAAACTGAAAGACATGCCCTCTCGGGTAGCATTTTTGAATAGTACTGGGTTCCTGGTAACATGTCAAACTAAGTTCCACCAGACTGCTTAGCAGGGATAAGAATGAAGAGGACTCATGACGGAAGAGAGTTCTGGCCCCAAGGAGCGATAGGGTCGGTCAAGTTTGTGATCTGTCAGTATCCGCAAGGGAGGTTTGGAGCTCACGATGCTTCAGTATTTTGAATTTGGAGAATGCCTGCTGAGGCTTAGAATAAGATGGAAGGGAGGAGAATGGCCAGTAGCTTTTGATAGTATGTTGGGATCATCATTACATTTGTAGCTTCAAGAAAAAGAGAAACATATTAAAAATATCTTTGAAACCTTGAAAAACAGGTGCTTCCAAGGGATCCAGGATTCTCTCATTTCTAAAACCCCATCTTAAAAAAGACTGCCCAGTTCCTTGCAGCGATGAGCAGACACTGAGTGATTTGTGTCCCTTCTAAGCTGATGTTTATCTAATTATTGAGTTTGCAGATCCAGTAGAGTGAGTCCAAATCCCACTGAATCCCCAAAGTATCCACCTAACTCCATGTGAAACCCGTGTAGCCATAATGTATCCCGTTAATAAAAGCTAATCATCATTTTAAGGAGTTAAGTAATTTATACATTTTCTTACTAAATACTCTACCATACAACATGTACGTGTTTCTGTTTTTTAAAAAGTTAGGATGTTGTAGTACAACTGTCCAGGTTCCATTCAGACCCATCACTCATCCTCCTGGTGTGAATTAAAATGAATCCTCTGTGATTGCCACGTATGTGAAACACTTCAATTAAACAACAGAAAAGTTTTGCCCATTTTTATCTACAGTGTACTCCACTGACCAAGGAAGTGGTGCCCAAGTTTGAATAATGCGTGGTTTAGACACACCACCAAGGGGCAGTTAATTTCACACCAGTGAAAATAGCAAATGCACATTACGGGCTTGTTAACTAAATGTGAGAGGCCGCGAGGCTTGCAGACAGATTTAGATTCGCTCAGATGGAAAGGGGAGGACGGAACTTTGTAAAGCCGCCATCAGAAGGAAGCAGAGAGGAATCCCAGCAAGAGCTTTTTACTAGGAGGTGGACTCACAGTCACAACACTTCAAACCCGGTTCACTTAGAGCACTGGGGACCTAAGCTAAGCTATCACCTGTGACAGTTAGGAAGCCAGGCTCAAAATACCCTGAGATACTTTGTGGCTCTGCTACCTCATGGCTGTAGGACCTTGGAAACTGTAAAGTGGGCCGGATAATTCCTGTCCCACAGGAAGATGAGGACCACATGCGAGGATCCACGTGAAGGTCTGAGCACATCCCTAGCACAGGATAAGTGCTCGATGACATCAGCAGTGATGGTGACGGTCATGACGAAGCAGGGGGAGGAAGAGGAAACTTAGCATCAAGCTCTCGAAAAGCATGTCTAGAATGGGTCCAAACTTCTGAGCTTCTCTTGTTGTGCTTTGGGAGTGAGGGATGACCTGTGGCACAGAATAGTGAGGATAAAGATGAGAGGAAGGAGGAGGTGGGGGAGGGGGAAGTGGAAGAGGCGGAGGGGAGAAAGCAGGCCTCTGTACTCTGTAGGCAGAGGTTGGGAGGAGGAGGAAGCACAAGCAAGTCTCTCCACTTGCTGGACAGAGGCTTCCAGAGCTGCAAGACTCTGATGGGGAAATGCAGGGAGGAGGAAAGGAGCGGACACCGCAGAGCAAGCAGACATTTACCCTTCAGGTGGAGGCAGCAGAGAGCCTGGCGGCTAGTAGCGGGGTCTCCAGGTTTGGACACTGACTCCCCCACTGAGTAACCTTAGGCAAGTTACCTAACCCCCTTTTCAACCGTAGAACAATACTACTACCCATCTCGTGGCGTTGCAGAGAGGATTAAATGTATGAAGTGTTTCTCATGGTGACTAGTGACTGATCCATGGTAATGTGCGTTGCTGCTACTGTTACCATTTTAAGGGTAATATGTACATTCCTGCAGGGGCTTTATTGTAAACCAGCTGATATTAGAAATCAGAACTTCTAGAGCTTTCCTGGGCTGTAGTTATAGAGGCTGAAACAGGCAGTGAAACTTACTTTGATACGAGACAATCCGTTTAGTTGACCACCTGGGTAGAACATGAGAAGAGAGCTCAGGAGGGGATCCTGAGGGAAGGTGGGAGAAATGTAATCTAGACTGGGTAGAAGTAAGAGTTTGGAGGAAATGGATGACGAGGAGCTCCACCTTTATCAAGGTCACTGAGGTGACAGTAGGACAGCTGGCCCCACATCCTGCAATGACAGTCATGTTTAATTGGACAGGAGTAAACGGTTGGAGACCCTGCCCCCAAGATGCCACCATTCTGAGCTCTCCCACTAAGGACTGGTCTGATCGTTTTTTTTTGTTTCTGTTTTTGTTTTTTTTTGCGGTATGCGGGCCTCTCACTGTTGTGGCCTCTCCCGTTGCGGAGCACAGGCTCCGGACGCGCAGGCCCAGCGGCCATGGCTCACAGGCCCAGCTGCTCTGCAGCATGTGGGATCCTCCTGGACCAGGGCATGAACCCGTGTCCCCTGCATCGGCAGGTGGACTCTCAACCACTGCGCCACCAGGGAAGCCCTGGTCTGATCATTTTTGCGGCTGCAAATCCAGAAGTCATTTCAGCCATCACATTGTGTCTGCCTTCCCTAGTGAAGCTCTCCTTCCTCCCGGCTCCTCCAACACCCTGCACCTTCCTTTATTACAGTATTCAGGCCTTTGCTGTCATTTTTCATTCATTTTACTCTCTTGCCACTGGCCATCAGTATAACTTCAGAGCCTAGGCCTGACTGGGACCTGCCAAAGGGTTGCTGGATGAGGCCACGAATGGAGAAGGCCCTCACCCTCTCCCTCTCCTGTGTCGCTGCCGCGGGGTGCCCTGGGTCCTCACCTCCCTTCCCCACTCCAGCCCTTTCCGCTCACTGCTATTAGCCCTGCCTCCCTAAAAATCTACGTTTGGCACCACGTCTTCCACTCACTGTAGTGATTCCCTATTGCTGACCGTATCGCGTCTCATCTAACTCCTGACTGGCTTTTACAGTCCTCCATAATCGGCCCACCCAGGCTTATTACCACTTCTCCCCCTACTCAGTTCCACTTACCCTGCGGACCGCCCTCGCCCCTCACTTTCCACCTCTGCACCCTGAGTTTCTCTAGTCCAAATGCCTCTCTTGTCTAGGTACTCCCCATCATTTGGGACACAACTCAAGCTCTGCCACCTCCAGGAAGCCTTCCCACTCTTGCAGTTTGCACTCTGTGCTGAAGTCCTCCTGTGTTTATTTCTAGTTCCATTGGTGTTTTGTGTTCACTCCTCTCTGATTGTTTCACCCTCTACCCGACAGTGTTGTAAATAATTTCAGGAAAGAGTCTTCTGTTGCTGCCCATGCAGCAAATTGTGGGAACATGACGTACTCTCAATCAATGGTTGATATAAATATTGGAGTCATATTCGAAGAGATTAAAACTGACAATGAAGATGAGATTGGATCACTGATAAAGGAGATTAGCAAGGACTCATGAGTTGAGTCCTTGGATTTGCAGGTATGATGACAAATTCATGGCATTTGAGAGAACCAAGTGGAAAGGCCAGTGGTTTACAACAGGGAAGACCTACTAATGGCTGGGGTTTTGTGAAAAACTTAACTGGTAGATTTTGATCATGTCATCGTCTTAGATTTTTACAAAATATTTCTTTTCCAAGTTACTTTTAAGGTTACTTCTTATTAAAAACAAACTACATTTCATCTACCTGAATATGGCTGTCCCATCTTTCACCTGTGGCTGTTACTAGATTCATTCTGTGTTCAGTGGTTTCCGTCCTTCCTTCCTCTCTCTTTGTTGTAGCATCCTCTGGAGAAGCAGGGATGGGGATTCTAAAACATGGTACAGATCAAAAGTCTCTGTCGTTGTTTAAAAGCAGTGATAACAAAATAAAGACCATGTAAATGAAATAAGCCCCAAAGCCTATTGCTTGATGAGTAGGCTCTACCAGGGGAACTAGATCTACCATCTGAGTTCTCTTCTAATTTCTAGTGCCAGGTATGTAGGCTGGATACTTTTTGTTGCTGTTTGAAAAACTCTTTGGCTTTTCAAACTGTCCACGTTTGCAGAGCACAGCCTTCAGTGCTTTTCTCTGCCACCTCCTTTTATGCTATCGTCTTCCAAAAATAGCTGGGTTTCAAGTGATTCTCATTAGAGTAAACAGCTTACTGATGTTTTCATCTCCACTTAAATTGTGTCTTCATCAACCTTAGAACATAGCAAAACTTTTAGTTTGTTTTTTCTCTCGCCAATTAACAATCTTTATATCTCTAAAGTTATACACATGCTTGCTGTAGAAAAGTTTAAATATACAGAAATATAAAGGAAAGAAAATAAAAATCACCCATAATCCTGTCACCTAGAGGAAACCAATGTTAACATTTTGGAGTTTCAGCCTTTCTAGTGCATATTAAACCATTTTTAAACAAAATGAAATATTATACACACCAGTGTTTACCCTCCTTTTTTTCACTTAACATGAGCTTCTTTTCAAGACTACCTAGCAGTCTATAAATGCACTCTTACATTGGACATTAAAGTTTATCCAAGTTTTAGGCATCGTTGTTACTGAATCTTTGTACAAATCCATGATCATCTCCCTAGGATAAACTCCTAAAAGAATTTCTGTTAGCGTATGAACTTTTCAAAGCTCTTGATACATAATTTTATGTTGCTTTCCAGAAAGGTTGTACTAATTTACACTTCCATCCTTGGAACACCACGTATCATCTTTTCTTTAGATCTTTGCTAACTTAAATGGAAAAAGTGGTTCCTTGTATACATGTTCATTTTCTCCTGGTTTATGTGAGCTCTTTATATACTAAACTATTAATTCTTCATCATGTTGCAAATATTCTTTTGTTTCTGTCCATTTTGAAATGTTGACAATGGTGTTTTGTGTTTATTGTCATACCAAAGTTTTAACTTTTTATCTAATCAAATCTGTAAGCCTTTCCTGTTTGCTTTTTGTCTTTGATGCCCTTCCTCACTCCAATTTTATAAAAACGTTCACCATTTTTCCGGCACTTTAACAGCTTCATTTTTTTTTTCACTTTAACTTAAAGAATTGTACTGTGAGCCATCACAGAGCAACGAGCATGAATTAAGTAAGGACTAGTTATCATCATTCCGCTCCAAATTACCCTTAGCTATTTCCTTCTCCAACATCAGGCTCTCCTGGGCTGCCAGGGAGGTGCCACAGCCAGCTTCAGGCAGCCCTTCATCTCCCACCCACCTCAGCCTCACCCTGATCAGAGGCACTGCAGAGCCCGAGAGGGACAGAGGAAGCTGCTGAGGTTCAGAGGACAGATCTCTCCTTCACAGAGGGAGACCTGCTTGGGATGAGCTCTGGTGTCTGGAAAACACACTGATCTTCTGAAGGTATTCTGGCCCAGGTACAGGGCCAAGGGCACTGGAACCAGGGCAGTTTGCAGAGCACTGACTCCTGTTGCCTGGTACCCAGCCAATGGGCTTTGACCCACCTCCAGAGCATCCTGAGGTGGCAGGTGTGTGCCAGCCCCTCATACAGTACCTGACTTCTAATTTTCATCAGTATAAGTCAAAATTACCCGCTCCCCATTTTCCAACACAGGAAAGACAGAACTGGGTGTGTGGAGCCCAACCAAATCAGTTTACCTTGTCATCAAATCTTAAAGCAGTAGAGCAAGAAAGGACCTTACAGAGCGCATCGTTCCACATTCCATCGTTCCATCGTCCCCTTGTTTGTTCAGATGAGGGTCTGAGCCTCCAGAGGCGGGTAATTACTGTCCAAGGCAGAATCCAGACCTTCTGGTGGGTACTTCATTCTTCTATTCATTCCTCATTCATTAACGAGCCCCTGCTGTGTGCCAGGCCCTGTGGTGGGCTTTGGAAATTTTTAAAGTGTCTAAAACTTATCTTCCTGTCCTCACTGTTTCACTGAGAGACAGATGTATAACCACTAATCATAGTACGGATTATGGATGCATTAACAGAGGTCTGTACAGAGTGCTGGAGGAGTACAAGAGAAATGTGGATAATTCTGGCAGGAGAGGGCAGGAGAATTGGAGAGAACATTTCAGAAGACAGAACGTTTGAGCTGGACTTGAAAGAAAAGGGAGATGTGTGCTGTAAGGGCCAGGCCACAGCAGTGGCAAACACAGAGTGGCTGGGAGTGCAATGCATGTGTGGACTGGAGAGTGGTTTGGTGGGTGATGTGGTGGAAGGAGCTTTTTCTACCCCCTTTGCTGCAACCAGCTGAGCCACCTGCTGTTCCCTACTCCCGCCTCCACATCTTAGCAAAGAACCTGATCACACCTCCTCAAGCTTTTCCTCCTGCTTAATCCTCCAAGGGAACCCGAGGGCTCCTTCCTTGACCCTTGCATAGCACCACAGGCTTACCTCTATTACAGTAACTTTCACATCAAATTCTGAGGTGAGAGTAGGAAATGGGTCTTCTTAAAAATATGTATATTATAAAAGGCAAAACTATGGAGACAGTAAAAATATCAATGACTGCTAGGGGTGGAGTGGAGGGGAGGAATGAATCAGCAGAGCCCAGAGGATTTCAGGGAAGTGAAAATACTCTGTATGATATTGTGATGATAGACATATGTTATTATATATTTGTCCAAACCCATAGAATATCCAACACTAAGAGTGAATCCTAAGGTAAACTATGGACTTTGGGCGATAATGAGGTGTCAATGTAGGTTTATCCGTGGAAACAAATTCTGGTGAGTGATGTTGATAATGGGGGAGGCTGTGTGCGTGGGGGGAGGCACAGAGTGTATATGGGAAATCTCTGTACCTTCTTAATTTTGTTGTGAACCTAAAGCTGCTCTTTTAAAAAGGTCTTTTAAAATTAATTAATTAAAAATACATGCTTGAGGTTGGGGAAGGAATTCAAATAGTGTAGAAAGATAGATCAAAAAAATAGGGCTTCCCTGGTGGCACGGTGGTTGAGAGTCCGCCTGCCGATGCAGGGGATACGGGTTCGTGCCCCGGTCCGGGAAGATCCCACATGCCGCGGAGCGGCTGGGCCCGTGAGCCATGGCCGCTGAGCCTGCATGTCTGGAGCCTGTGCTCCGCAACGGGAGAGGCCACAACAGTGAGAGGCCCGCATACAGCAAAAAAATAAATAATTAAAAAATAAAAAGAACAATGTTTTTAGTTTCTGAGTATCCAGAATCTCATGAGTGGGGCTTCCCTGGTGGCGCAGTGGCTGAGAGTCCGCCTGCCGATGCAGGGGACACAGGTTCGTGCCCCGGCCCGGGAAGAACCCACATGCCGCGGAGCGGCTGGGCCCGTGAGCCATGGCCGCTGAGCCTGCGCGTCCGGCGCCTGTGCTCCGCAATGGGAGAGGCCACAACAGTGAGAGGCCCGCTTACCGCAAAAAAAAAAAAAAAAAAAAAAAAGAATCTCATGAGTGGTAAAGGGTTTATTACCTTGAAAGCGATGGGAAACCCTCACGGAGTTTTAAGCAGGAGAATGAAAGGGATTTGGAGGCCAGATGGTCAGTTGGGAAACTTTTCAGGGAAGAGGTGTCTGCATTGGGGAGGTAACAATGGCAAAGAGAGGAGAGGATGGAGGTAGAATATACAGGACTCACACACCAGTTGGCTGTAGAGATGAAAGGAAGAGAAGAGATGATGACAGAGTTTCTGGTTTCTTCAAGCCACTGCCCTGACCATCCACCACAGATTCATATGAAATCATGTTAATTTCTCATTTAAAGCAGAAAAAGCTGAAGTTAGCCAAGTCCACACTTTAAAAAAGATCAGTGGAGAAGATGAAAGAACAAGATGCACATTAAGAAGTCATTCCTTTCTGGAAATACAATAAAAATGATCAATATGTAGAATGGCAAAGATATTTTGCACAATATGTCTTAAAGTTCCTTCCTTCTCAGATTGAGGCAAGGTCTGTAGAACCACATAGGCCCAAGGAGGACGTAAGATAAGGCTGCTACCAGGTGGGAGAGTTTGCAGGTTGGGAGAGTCCAGTCAGAATACATTTATCACTCACTCTCTTAGACGTGAGATGAGCTGCAGTGAAGCCAGGCAGGCACATCTAACAGACCTACGTCTTATCACCCAAGGGTTCGCGTGCACAAGGGTCCACGTTTCCTATGATGGGCTTTGTCTGAACTTCACCCCGTCACTAGCACTAGACTTCTGAAGACAGTGGAAGCTCTCAGTACTGTGACTGGCTCAAGTGTTCAAAGACTAGAGAACATGCTTGCCCTCGACATTCCCGAGTAGTTATCATGTGCAAGGGATTATACTAGACGGGCTATGCGATATTGTGAAATATAAGAGATAGACCTTTGCCTCTCAGGATTTACTGTCTATTCTGATTAAATCACAGTCTTGAAGAAAACATCTCTTCAAACAACTATAGTGTTTACTTTTAAAAATACCAAAGGGCGGGGGGGGGCGGTTCTATGGGACTGTCAGTAATACTTTTACTAAATATACCAATAGTAGATTTTGCACTTTAATTAATCTATTTCTCTGTTTCTCACTCCTACCAGATAATTTTCAGGATCAAATGAAAAGGGAACTAGCCTACCGAGAAGAAATGGTGCAACAGTTACAAATTGTAAGATGCATTTCTACTTAAAAATAAATGCAAGGTGATGGGTTTGTTTTCAAACCACCCAATATGTATGAAACTGTTTGTGTTTTTGCCTTGAAATCCTTTGGTCCACTTCACTCTCCGCTGGTTTAGATGCTAATTGCCAAGAGATTTACTTAGATGCAGGATACACAGATGTGTCAGTACATTTCCTCTAAATGTAACTACCTACCATGTGTTAATAGACAGATGTGTACATTGTCTCTGAGGGTGAACCAGAGGTACCTGCATTGTCTTCCACTGTGCAAACTTCCGAACACAGCGCTGGGCTGCACCAGAAGCTCAGGGAAGGGCCATTGTCTTTGTCTTCCCCCTCCTTCCACCACCCAGACCTGAGCAGGCCCTCTGCTGTCAATAGAACTTAGTATAAATACAATTAATCAATTAAATTCACTTGAACGACGATGAAAAGAAACGAATTATTTCCAAATGAAGTGTGTTACTCTATCCTAATCATGTCTGAAAGTGGACACTGACAAAAATCTATTTATACAGAAACAGGGAAACAGGAAAGTGTCTGATAAATAAATGTTGGGAGGTTTTATGGTTTTCGTTTTTTGAGTTGTTTTTTTTCTTTTCCCTGAATTCCTCACCCTTTGTCCCCATGCAGATACAGCTGGTATTATTTATTAGTGCTTTGAAAGCAGTATCCCAAGCTTCCTCATTTTCATGAGTACAATGGGGAAATAATTTCTGCTTAGTTTTTGTAAGATTATTTATTTATTTATTTATTTATTTACGGCTGCGTCGGGTCTTCGCTGCTGTGCACGGGCTTTCTCTAGTTGCGGCGAGCGAGGGTTACTCTTTGTTGTGGTGCCGGGCTTCTCCTTGCAGTGGCTTCTCTTTGTTGGGGAGCACGGGCTCTAGGCGCACGGGCTTCAGTAGTTGTGGCACACGGGCTCAGTAGTTGTGATGCACGGGCTCTAGAGAGCAGGCTCAGTAGTTGTGGTGCATGGGCTTAGTTGCTCCGCGGCATGTGGGATCTTCCCTGACCAGGGCTCAAACTCGTGTCCCCTGCATTGGCAGGCGGATTCTTAACCACTGCGCCACAAGAGAAGTCCATTTATAAGATTTTTTTTTTTTTTTTTTTTGCGGTACGCGGGCCTCTCACTGTTGTGGCCTCTCCCGTCGCAGAGCACAGGCTCCGGACACACAGCCTCAGCGGCCATGGCTCACGGGCCTAGCCGCTCTGCGGCATGTGGGATCCTCCTGGACCAGGGCACGAACCTGTGTCCCCTGCATCGTCAGGCGGACTCTCAACCACTGCGCCACCAGGGAAGCCCCTATAAGATATTTTTAATCACCTGGGTAAATACATACATTGATCCTTAGTGTTCTTCACAGCATGATTATTATAATTTGGGTTGCTTGGTGTTTCTGAGCTTGTCCACGTCATCCTTATACCACAAAGCATGTATCTATGCAGACCCGCCTGTCTTGTCTAGAGAGCCAGGCATCTAGCTTTCTGTCAGGATTATTTAAGGAAGATGGTTATTGATGTTTCCTTTCTGCATGGGAGAAATCATGCTTGCGTTAATGGAGATTGCTGAGAGTCATTTTGAAAGCAGCCTTGTATTTCATGATGTTTTCCCCCATTCTAGGGGCTCTATTAAAAGTACTGCTTCTAACTTTAACCCTCCTTCTGAGGTTTTCCTGGATCTCAAGTGCTGGTCAACAACTCTCAGTTCTGAAAACCACCTCAACATAAGACCCTCTTAAACAGGATCTTTCTTCTTGTTTTGGTTTTGCTTGTGTTAGTTTTATTTGCACCTAACTTCACTGGGAAACAGAAGGATTTTCTTAATCAATTGAAAACTAATCCCCCACAGGGGTTAAAAAAAAAAAGTATCTACTCTTCTCAGCTTTTGATACCTAGATAATAAGAGCTGCTCATTACTTGCTATGAATTTACGTATTGTTTTATTTGTCCAAAGGAAGAATGTAAAGATAGGATCAGAGATAGAAGGATATAAAATGTTAAGACCTTACTTATTTTACATAGGATATCATTTTCAGACTCTTAAAACAAAAACTACCACACATGCAACCAAAAATGTGTGACTGCTGGGTGGTGATGAGCGTAGCAAAAGGGGCATTAGGAAAGAAAACTAAATAATTATTTCAGTGCCAGTTATTTAAGACCAGTTATGTAATTTTAATGTCTTAATTTTCTTTGACATTTGGCTTCTTTAGTAAAAGAGGAGATGATATTGCATCCATGTAATAAGCAGGCAGTATTAATAAAAGAAAAAATATCTCTTGTCTTTTGAGATATTTGGTACATGGAAGATACAAATTGGTATTACAAAATATCTTGATTACATTGTATTGCAAAATATTTTATCATTATGTATTTATTTATCTAGACAAGTGTTATTAATTCATATTCCTCTAGATAGTAAATTTTCCTGGTTGCAAATTAAATTCTTTGGGAGGAGCTGGAATGTTTTCCCCCAGCCTTGTAGGTACAATATAATTCCTGAAATCCACAAAAGTACATCCAGACTACCAACATGAAAACTGGTGAAATAGACATGATTTGTCCCTTCTGCTTCTTCCCCTTCTTTTGTGTCCCCTATTCTTAGATGCCCGGGTCTTTGTGCTACCTTCAACACCTAGCATGGTGTCTAACATCAAATAGGGATCAGTAGACATTTGTTGAATTAACCACCACCCATGGTTGCCCCCTGACCCAAAGCTGATACTGTCATGTAGCAATCCTCTTAATTCTTTTCCAAATTGTCCTGGCTTGGTCCTGATTTCCTCAAATTTTTTTTGTGTGCTGGGGAACTACTACCAAAACTACTAAAAGAAGGCATGCTAGTGAATTACTGGGAGCTTATGTATTACAGCACTGTCCTTGTGACTAACAGATACAAGCTTTAAGGTCTGCAAACTTGAGTTCAAGATTCATCCTGTATAGTTCATTTTATCAGTTTCTAGACCAAAGGGACCTGTTATAAGGTCCAACCTAGTACCCTGATAGGGATATGGTAAGGCACAAGTGTTTAATAAACATGAAATGCACATGTAAACATAAAATGCTGTGCCAATACAAGTAATCGATTTAATGGCATGCCCCTTCTCAAAGTAGTACCTCTATTAGTGGAACTATTTGAGCCCTGGTGGCTAGAGATATATTTGTGCGGGAAGGACCTGTGTTCACACTATACCATCTGCTTTAGAACTGAGGCAGCAAACTCAAGTTTACTTGAACAGAAACTTATCCCGTCCCTTATTCAGCTTGTTGTATTTGCTAAAGTAACTGGAGAAAAATGTCTTTAGAAAATTATACCTAAATATTATCAAGAAGTTGCTAGGTATCACAATTATTGACTTTCTCAATATTTTTAGTTGAATGCTCTAATTCATCAGTGAATATAGTTACATGCTTTGCTCCTTGAGAACAGAACAATTCACCAAAAATTATTTTATTCTTTTATGTTTAAATTATTTTATATTTAAAGTTTACAAAGCATGTATTACAGAATAGTCATTTGCTTACAGAATAGGCATCTTTTCCTTTAGATGAAATAAAAACCCACTCTGCAGTCATGGAGAATTCAAATATATTAAAACCATCATATTTTGTAACAATTCCCATAGATCCATAATGCATTTGTCCTATGCTGTTGCACAGTGTTCTTATTCAAGATGATATCGAAAGCATCTTGGGTATCATTGCCATAGAAAGAAAACTCATGAATTTCTTTGGTTCCTGCATTTTTAGATTCTCCGCTGACTAATTTCTACACCATTGCTTCCTTTTACAGTTTGTTAAATGCAAAGTTGTGATGACTATAGACTCAAATGATTGACTCTCTTTGTGTGTTTATAAATAAATGTGCATTTATCTAATGTGAGATTTAAAGCATATGCAGTTTATTTAACACATATACATGGGCCACAAGCTAATATTTTTTTTACAAACAGTTTAAAATGAGAGTTTTACAGTCTTTATTACAGTTTGTGTTATGGTCCCCCACCTCTGCTCTGGGTTTTCAAGTGCTTAAAATGTTGTTATTACCAAACCAGATTTACTTACACAAGCAAAGAAATATGTTCCTCTCAATATGAACCAAACACAAAGGTTTTAGAATTTAGCACGTTCATGAAGGTGTTAGTGTTTAGTATAATAAAGAGCAAAAGATTTCTCATTCACAAGTGAGCTCTGGTTCTAGGAAAAAAGTTCAATTTTTAAAACAAAACCATCATCCCTTAGGATTGAGAAGAAGGTGAAGAAACCATTACAATGTTATATGTAAATTATATCCCAATTTTTAAAAAAATTTTAAAGAAGAAAGTGAAGGCATTTTACTAAGTGTATAACCATTCTTAAAAGCTTTTTATTAGAGTATAGTTCATTCACGATGTTGTGTTAGTTTCAAGTGTACAGCAAAGTGAGTCAGTTATACATATACATATATCCACTCTGTTTTAGATTCTTTTCCCATATAGACCATTACAGAATATTGAGTAGAGTTCCCTGTGCTATATAGTAGGTCCTTATTAGTTATCTATTTTATATATAGTAGTGTGTATATATCAATTCCAATCTCCCAATTTATCCCTCCCCCCTTATCCCCTGGTAACCATAAGTTTGTTTTCTACATCTATAACGTGTACAGCCTTTTGATTAAAGTTTTTCCAAGGACTGGAATATAATGTAGTTTACAACATGAGCCGAGACTACTGTGATGCCTTGATAACCTTTTTTCAATTTTTTATTGCTAATTTGGCAACAATTTTTTAAAGCAAGTACATGTATGTATAAGCTACTACCGTAGGTTTGTTGGAGGCATGTCATAGTTGAAGACATAGTTGTTGAAGACATTAGTCATAGTTCTTGAAGGACACTGTGAAGCTGCAACAGAAAACGCATGATAAATGGCTAGACCCAGATTCACATACTTTGAACTTGCTGGATCGCTACCAAGGGGCACGTAGATTGAGAAAAAGTGCTTTTAAAATATGCTAGTCTTGAAGTGCCCTCTGCTGTTCTTCCAGAACACTGCAGTCACACGCAGCCAGAGGGAACCAGTCTCAAAGTTCCTCGTTAAAGCCTCAATTAAAATTAATGTTCAACCAATAGATTTAGTACTAATGTTTCGTTCACCGTGGACTTGTAAAAAGTCAGTTTACAACTTTCTGATGGTGTGAGCACTGTGCTTCCTTGCCGGGAAAGGAGCGGTGACAGGTCTTTATCGTTTCTGGAGGAGTGCTCCCCCTTGGGCAAGGGTACAGCTCTTCATTGTGGTCTTTTCTTGGAGCATCTCCAGTATTCATTAGGATGGGAACTTGCCCAGATTTCTACCGTCTGAACACAGGGAGTTTTTAAAAATATGTTTTACATATTTTTAAAAGGTAGATAGAGCACTTTATTTTTAGAAAAAGATCCCTGGGCCCCTAGAAGATTTTGACTTTATGACTAAATATGTAACAAGCAGAGGACTTGATGTAAGTCTGAACTTCCTTGGAAGCTGCCTTAAGATTCTCCAGGAGACGGACTTTGACTGCAGTGGGTCCTTTTCCAATTATTGATCTATTGCCTTGCATCTTGACAATGCAATGACTCGTTTCTTAATTATATATCCTTTTTCTCGTCTTTCTCCTTTTGAGATGTTGACCCACCTTAATGTCTGAGCTCAGGCTAACTCTCTTGGCACAATCTAGGAAATTATCTTTTTTGGTAAAATCTCAATACTTTTGATAGACTAGAGCCGACTAGGTGATTTAGAAGTTATATAGCAACTTTGAGGGGGTTTGTCCATGCCAATCTTGGTGATTTCCAAGCTAGTCAGAATGAAAAGAAAGCTTTTATAAGTTCTATTACAGGAGATTTACATGGCCTAATTATCTTTAATGGAGCCTCTAAGATCCTGAGCTCCCCCAGTTGGGGAGTATAGAACCTGAAGCACCATCAATCATAAAAGTGCCCATTACTTGATGTATCATAAGAAAAGAAGTTTCCAACTATTATTCTCAGATACCATCAATTATAGTACATCCAACTTCAGAAGTGTTAAAATGTGAGGGAAAAAACTGCATCTTAGAATCAATGAAATAGGACAGTTTCCATGAACAGTCGGGCCATATGCTAATATATTCTTTATTAAACATTCATGACTTAAGACTTGGAATTAATGACTCTCAGCTCACAACCTGAGATTAATAATTCTTCACACAGATTTAAATTTCAGTCTGGAGATTTGGGGATCAAATGTGCTTATTTGGAAATGTCCTTTTTTTCCTGAGTCCTTTCCTTAAATTTCCTTATCAGCTTCCCATCTTAATGAAATGCTACATTGTTGTTTCTGAAAAAAAGAAAAAGGCATTCAGACTTAGATCTGAAAGCAGTGCCCTTCAGGCAGTTTTCTTTGGGTTAGGATGAGTAGTTTACTGGCTTTGATGAGATGGCGCATGGTGATATTAACTTATCTCGTGCAGTGCCTGGCACAGAACAGACACTTACTAAATCTTCGTGGCATCTAATCTTGATGTTGAGAATGCTTTCTAAATGCGAGAGTGACACAAATACATTTTATTAGGTAATCCTTATACCCCAAGGTTTACATCATTTCTACTTGTTATCCTAAATAATAGAATTCCATTCAAAGCTCTCTGACATCATGCATCTAAAGAAAGAGGTGATCCATGTGTTTTGGCATATTGTTTCATACACCATAATGGAAAATCAGGATTCAAGTATGTCTCGGTTAATAGCAGGTGTAGCATAACCCAGAGTGGAAAGAAGAGGTAACTAGAGTAGGTCCCTGTGTAACTCTTCTTGTCATAGTTATCTAGCTAATCTCAGCTCTCGTCCTAAGTATGAGATTAGGACACAACTATTTATGGTCCTCTATGAACCATTAATTTCGATGCTGCTATTATGGCCTTTATCAGATATGTCTCTACCATATACATCCACGTTGTGGCTGTGTATCAAGATAGTGAGGTGGTTATTTTAGTCTTCTCTCTTTTTTTCATTAAAAAGACTGTTTGAGGGCTTCCCTGGTGGCACAGTAGTTAAGAATCCACCTGCCAATGCAGGGGATACGGGTGCAAGCCCTGGGCCAGGAAGATCCCACATGCCGCGGAGCAACTAAGCCCGTGCACCACAACTACTGAACCTGCGCTCTAGAGCCTGTGAGCTACAACTACTGAGCCCGCGTGCCACAATTACCGAAGCCCACGCACCTAGAGCCTGTGCTCTGCAACAAGAGAAGCCACCGCAATGAGAAGCCCGCGCACTGCAACAAAGAGTAGCCCCCACTCGCCACAACTAGAGAAAGCCTGTGCGCAGCAATGAAGACCCAACGCAGCCAAAAATAAATAAATTAATTTTTAAAAAAAGACTTGTTTGATTCAGCTAACCAGTTATTATGGCAAAATGGTCCAGCTAGTCTTAGCCACAAGCATCACTATAGATTTGTAGTTCCTTCCCATTAATAAAGGTTCATGTTTATGGACTGGTAGATCAGGAGAGCAAAACATAAATATGCTGGGGATATGGGGAATGTATATAACAGTATTCAAAATATTACCTACTTGAATGACTATAATTTTCTTTCCTTCACTGCTTTTATATAATATCAGCCATAGTTCATGTTACCTTCTAGAAGGCTGAATATTTCTTTAAACGTAAAACAGATTTATATCATTAGAGTCCTGAATTTAGCCTTATAATGATGAAGGTAAGTAGCATGACTAGGGTTAGTAGAGAGGCAAATCTAAATAATACATGTAGTCCAGTTTCAACAATTTGAATTTTCTAATGAAAAGTTGCATATCAAATGCGATAGACTTTCATTCAAAACCCCACTATTGAAAAGTACTTTTCAAGTTTATCCAGGTAGAATTCTCAAGGGTCATATTTTCCATTCAGTGCAATTATTTCTGATGCTTCTTAGTAGTTATTGGGAAATTACCCAGAGTAATAGTTTGTGTTTAGTTAATCTTATTTGTGATTTATAATGATAGCATATTTCCTCACTCCAATTAAATGGAAAATTACATTGAACTAGTTTGTAATCACATTCTTGTTTTGTGACCTTGGACATACGTTATAACTTAATTTTCATACATAAATAAAAATAAGTACCATATTATTAAGTGCAAATTATTAAGTGCAGTGAAATGTCACATAGGAACCTCAGAGACTAGCTGTAGCAACAACCTAGTGTGATCACCTGTCCTGTCCTCATATGCTTTTTCACAGGCCTTAGACATGCTATACCCCAGAAGCCCCATACTGCCGGGCAGATGGAGACCTTTTGTCCTCAGGGCAGATTCACCAGCATTCAAATTTAGGCACAATGAAGGGTCTCCATTATACATGTCTCCAAATTTTGCTCACCTGGATAGTTTTGCTTGTTTTTATCTTACAGATTCCCTATGCAGCAAGCTTGATCAGGAAAGAAAAGCTAGGTGCGCATCTCAGCAAAAGCTAAAAGGTGAGCTCATCAGAGGAAACAGATTTTCCTTAACTCTCTGAATTGTTATTGCTCGGCTGTGGTCTTTACTGATGTACTTGAAATAACCCAGGGCATTGATGATGTTGCATCCTGTGTTTAAGCTGATACACTGTTGAACTTCATTCTAGGCATGGGGCTTCCTAAATAAATGGCTAAGTGCATCTTATAAATTCTGTGGAAAATTTCTAAAACTAAGGAAATTCTCAGTTCAGTCTTGTAGATGTGATCTTCATTTTGTTTTAAGGTTTTCTACTCTTTCCAGTTCCTCCTGACACCCTGATTCCTGGTCCTCTGAAGGAAACCGGAGTGTCAGAAGCCATGCTTATTATGTTTTTTCTTCTCTGTCTCTCCTTTGCTTCCAAAATGTCTTCCTGAAACCCGACTTTCAGTGAATTACTGACAGATGGTGCTGTGAATAACTGCGTGTGACATAGACCTTCGAGAACTGCTGCTGCAGAATTAGTCATTCATTCTTTCCCTAAAACAATCCTTGTTTCTCTACAGCTGAAGCCAGATCCAATGTCACATACCTGGCAGCAATTTAAAAGACAAATATTCTGGACTCCTAAGGAAAAGGAGACAGTAAAAATTCAATGACTATATTCAGAATATACCTAAACATTTCAAAAGCACCTTTTTGATGATATGGCAGAAGATATAAATAATTGTTAGAATTGAAGGAATGCAAAAACTAGGATATTGTTGTTTCTCTAACAATACATTAGGATGACCTAGCGGTTGGAACTGCTAAATCAGGGAAAAACTCAGATGTCAGAGGTGGTATTTGTAAGTGCTCATGGCTAACTAGGATTGTGGTCATTTATCAGTTGTATTTGTTCCCATCAGAGTGATTCTTCCCACTCCTTCCCTCTGGAACATATTTTCAATTCAATAGAATTGACTGGCCAAAAATACTCTGTGCAATGCAGGTTCATGGTTCCTTTTCTTTCCTTCATGCCTCTTTTCTGCATATCACAAGCCTCCTCTACCATGTGCACGTGACAGTTCTACTTCTTGCCATTATCTTTATTGGTGATAATCTTCAGTATTTTTCTGAAACAGTTATATGTATGTCACATTTCATTAGGAGCTCAAAACTCTTTCCAAGACAGTCTCTCATTCATATGCTTTCCCTTAATTTTACGCACAGGGAACCAAGGTACAGTGAAGAGAGATGTGATGTTTTATGTCTCTGTTACAAAGCCAGGAAGAGATTCTAGGGCTCCTGATTTTAACAGCAGTGCCTGCTTGCTCCTTAAATAGGGACTTTCTGTCTTCTGTGAGCAGATGTTTAGCAACAGAGTTGCTCAGATGGTAAGTCATTCTGTTTTGGGATGCTCAGATAATGTCATTCTGTTTCCATCTCCATGAAGTCATGCACAAATGGACCTGTGAGTTTGGTTTCATTCTATATCTTCAAGTATTTTTCTTACGTCTGAACTTGACTTTGGTGATTTCTTTCTCATCATTGTAGACCAGATTTTTCCCAGCAGTGTGAAATGAATAGTTTTAGAACATTCAGAGTCTAATAAATCTTAACGCAGCATATCAAGGTGATCAAAGCAAAAATCATCCAAGTTAACGCTGACAAACCCATATGTATAAAAGTTTGAAAATGTCAAACTACTTTTCTTTCAAATCAAAAAGTATATATTGGGATGTGTTTTTTTAAGTAACCTTCTTATTGAAATATAACACACATTCTCCAAAGCCTATAAATCGTCAAGTCATGAAGTCAACACATCAGAGCTCAGTGAACTTGCTGAGGTTTCTAGCACCCAGATAGCTACCTTGTGCCCCTACCCAGTTACAAAAGATTGGTTTTACCCGTTTTTGAACTTTAGTAAAGGACATTTTATAGAACATTCTCTTGTATCTGGCTTCTTTCACTCCACGTTTGTGATTCATCCATTAGAATGTAGTTTGATTCATACTTAGGAACTTCAATAAACTCTCTTTCTACCCTTCCACTTGCCTGACTCATCTTCTCTGCTTGTCAGACATGAGCTGCTCTTGCACCTACAAAATGAAGACTTACTGCCCAGAAACCAAACATTTGATGGTGACATAGTGTACAGTGAGGTGGGAAAAAAAAAAAAAAAAAGATTGATTTGTGTTTAGTAACTAATGCTTCCTCCATGCTGATTTTGTTTCCATCCTTGCAGACAACAGGGATTGCTCTAAGTAGACCCTGGTGCTTTCAGAAGATTAGTGGTTACTTAAATGCTGAGCTAAATCAGCCAAGCAGAGAATCACAACCATATTGTTAGAGGCAGTATTCGATTCTCAACATGCCAAGCCTGCAAGGAACTACCCCAAGAGAGATGACAAAATAAAAATCATTACACCAAGGGAGAGAAACAAGTTCTGTCTTGCTGAGTGACCACAGGTTTCCAAATTAGGGACTGATACATTAATGTCTTATGCAAGAGTGACCCTTAAGGTAGTGTGCTGTGTTCTTGCCACCCAGTGAATTCCAATATGACTGTTAAGAGGAGGAAGCTTTTCAAACCCACAGGCAATCCACTTAATAAGCTGAGCAAGTATTGCCACATATCACTACTCTACAAATCATTTTTGCCCTACAAATTGTTAGGACACAAGAAATTCCATGTCGAATCAAAATAAAAGTCCACCCATACCAGGGGGCTAACAGTGCAATTCTGTTAGAAGAGCCAAATTGTTGTTCTTAACCACACCAACCTCAAACTTCAGGCATGACACTGAATAACTCTTAACTTTCCCTTAAGAACTCCTTAAAGATCCGTCATCCATGGATTTATCTAACCCTTTCTTCAACCTAGTTGAAGTCCCCTTTGGGGCAATGAATTCTATTTGTTTAGCTACCAGCTGTGTAAACTGTAGTTTATTTTATTTATCTTCAAACTACTTTCTAAAAGAAGCCCTTGTAGATTAGATGTTGCCCTGCTCTGCATATTTGCTTTATCGTGAGCTCACGAGTACAACGGAAGTGATTGGAAAAAATATTTCAAAATGCTATGTGTATTATCCTTTCATCTGGAACTGTTTTGAACACCGGAATTACTCCTGACGGTCTTCTTACCTTTGCTCATTAACGTGCCCCAGTTCCTACACAGACGCTCCAGGATAATCTGTGTGAAATCTGCACCCCAAATAAAAATGTCATGATATTAACACCAGTTGAATATTATTTTACATTCTTTTTGCCCCAAGCTCCTTTTAACATGATGCAAACGTCGTCCCTGTGACTCCGTGAAATACTTAGGTCTTTCACAGAGCACTCAATCATTTTACTTAAGTGGAAAGTGAATCATAGGATATGGCTCATTCATAGTCATACAGAAACCTGCTGAACAAGCTGGAAATAATAATAACCGTCATTCATTGAGCACTACCCATGCCAGATACTGGGTTAGGCTGCCGCGTTCTCTCTTTTGATCTTTACAAGTCTATAAGGTTGATCCTATTACTATGTCCATTTTATACATGAGAATGCAGAGGATCAGTGAGGTCACTTAGCTCGACGGTGACAAAGCCAGGATTCAATACAGGTCTATTTGACTCTAAGCCCCTTCTCTGTCTTTCTAGGATCATCGGGCTGGTTTTGGGAGTCTGGCTTCTAAATCTGACACTACTTCCCTTTGTCATCTGAAGTCATATCATTTAATCTCTTCGAGGCTTACTCTTATCTATGAACCGTGGATGGCCAAACCTGATCAAAGTCTCTGCCAGCTCTAAATTTTGACTCTCACCCTTGCGTGCCAGTCTTCTACCAGATTCTCTCTCACAAAGCGGCTGCTTTTATTAAAATTTGTTCATATAAAACCCTATATAACACCTGAGGGTGTAACCCACCTACTTTTTGCCTTAGGTCTTCATTTTCTTCATCACTAATTGCTACTTAGCATCCTCCTAGAGAGTTTGAAAGTATCATTTTTTCCCCTATCCTAACAATATCTAACTCTTTGGTAAACTCCTGTTATTTTTATTTTGTTATTTTTATTTTAATTCTGGGATAATTGCTACGAAAACAATAGCAAGAAAAAGGTCTTAAAGGGGTGTGGAGGGATTGTAATTGAACATTCTGTGTCTTCCTTTTGTAACGATCAAAGATGGGGGGTGGGGGGGGGCATGTCCATTTCTAGTCTCTGTCCTCAAACAAAAGAGAACCAGGTTCTTTCAAGAATCTCCGCTGAGAATGACAGTGTGCTGCCACACTTCTAAGGGCTTTACGTCAATTATCTTATTTAATCTTCAAAACAACCCATTGAGAGAAGTACTGCTACTCTCACCATTCTACAGCTGAGCAAACAGAAATGCGGAGATGAGTAGGTTGTGTGGTCTCACTGCTATTACAAGTGGCAGAATTTGAACCAGGCCGCCTGGCCCTGCAGCCCACACTACATCTGCTCTCCCCTGACTTGTGACCTGAAATCGTGGCCTAATTCACATCTTCCATTATCAGTTATAAATATGCAGTTAATAACCAATCCAGTGGTTTCATTGATGTTGAATCGCAAAACCTCTACAGCTGCCCTAACACCCCAGGACAAGAGAAATGGATGTAACTTGGACCATTCAGCCAAAGCCAGCAGGGCACCAGTGCATGAATTTCTGTCTGCCCCTTTTACCACAGGCTGTCTTAATGTTTGCTCAACAACAAATTGGAGCTTCTGGAACCCAGCAAAATGACTTTACTGTAAAGAAGCCATAGCAAACCAGCACGCTCTGATGTAATAGTTCTAGTTTGGCTGTCAGCAGAGATGCATCATGTAAGGTAGCAGACAAATTTATGGGAAAAGGAAGATGCTTTCATGGTCACTGTTTAAACATTTTTATTCAAACTGTGCTAAAAATGTCTTCTCTGAAGGATATACTAAATATTACTTTAAATGTTTTTAAATTATCTGATTGTGTCACACTGAGGTTGTCATTCTGTGCTTTTTGTCTTATCCCAGGTGCACAGAACCACTTACTCTTGTTCTCTTGTAAGA